TTCTAGATCATAATGAAGCACTGAATTCCTACTTAACCTTCATTTTTGTCAAGGTGTCTAAGCATACTGCTCACACTTTTGTGGTAGTTTATGAAGTATCATTGTATATTTTCAGAAGTAATGCTCAACCAAAACGTTTAGTAAAATCGAGTTGTTGCATTCTTCCTTTTTTATGTATTTTGCAACCATCCTGCAAAAAATCAAGTAAATGAGTAAGGAATGCAGACTAAGTGTTGTGACCACTTCTGAAACGAGATCGTATAGATAACGGAGGCATAGTCTAGACTACAACTAGGACACGTAAACTTCGCATAGTATAACGAATGTTCACTTATCTGAATTTCCTAGCCAGACCAACACAACTACCACTAGTTTCCATAGTAATAAAAGTCGAACGGACTGTTATTGACCATAAAATTATGGTTGGTTGGTGTAATACTTGGGGACTGGTCCCATGGTTCGTTATCGCACTTCCATACAACTTCGTGGAACGCCCTACTCTACAAACAAACTTTAGTTGTTGCTTTTGAATTCACTGACCTTCGAAATTTAAAATACTGCTTTGATTGACACATGACAGTGTCTTGTCAACACCACCAGCTTATTTTTCAGTAATGATTGTTAAATTTTAGAAAATCCTTTATGATTCATCAGAACAAATCCATGAGGCTTTTACAAACCTTATCAGTTTATGTTGTTGTGGGTTGTGGTTTCGAGAAAAAGGCACCTACAGATGAGTTTGTTTCGTCGTTTAACAAAATACTTAAGCGTAAGAAGTTTACCATTTTACAAAGATTTATCAGCTACTGCATCAAGTTTTTACGTGTTTTATCATTCATGATGTGATTCTCTTTGAAACCCAACAAAAAATGACTTGAGGGCTTCGTAAAATGGCACTCAGAGATTTGATAGTTTATGGAAAAAGACTGGATATATTTTGTTAGTACCGAGCATTATATCTCACACAGGAGAGGAGGATGAGGTACCTGAAAAGGAAATTGGATTAGAGGTGGTCTTAGTGACTTGGGAGCGTGATCGCAGTGCCCAAGGGACAACTGCTTGAGGTCGGTCACACACGACCTTTTTGTGTTAGCTCCGTACTTTTTGGGACCTTACCGCCGGAGACGGATATCCGTGGGATAAGGCGAGGCGTGCATTTTTAGGGTCAACCTTTTCTAACCCCACCCCTCCTTGTGGGAAGGCAGCATCGCTGTCATGCTGGTTGTCTGAAGGAAACACCTTACTGCTGTCACACCTCTGTACAGTCAGTAGTACGACTTCGCCTTCGGACCTTGGGTTTCTTGCTTTTAGTCTTACCGCTGTTCAACCGACCTGTCTGAAATGGTAGGACCTTGAGGAACAGTTGTTCCAGCCAGTATAGCTCGGTTGCTTTATCACGATAGGCAAGCCCGACCACCACGTCAAGGTAGCAATGACGGTCGGGATATCTCACACAAAAAGACACTTAACCCCATAGTTACACTGTTAACCAATGAGATTTATTCAGACCACAATGTATTTAAAGATGGAAATGAACTAGTACCTAGTTTTACAAAAGATTGAAACTTCCTCGCGATACCACTGTTATTACGCAAAAGTCATAGCTTTTTGAACATTTGACAAATCTTTGAAATTCTCATTTACAAGTTTAATGTGTTTGAAATTATTAAGGTTAAGATTTAAACATTGGTTTACTGATTCGAGAACTTATCTGTTTAGTTAATGACTGCTAAGTTATAGGAAGTCATTATTATTCTAGAATAAATTTTCTAAGGTTTTACGAAAATTCACAATAAGTAAGCCTACAAAACGAGTTCTGTATTTTATACAAAGACTGTAAATAAGAAATTAATGAAAATTAACACTATAATGCATTGTTGGTGCATGAGTGTTAAATCACATGAAGGACTTTATGGTAAGTTAGAATATATTTTTATGCTTGGTTCGATGACAGTTAAGTTGAAGAATTAAAATCAATAGGCTAATAAATTAATACAACGATCAATGAAACACAATTGGCAAATTATTGTTTGATTGAATAGACGGACTTACCACAAAGAGATGTGTCTTGTCTATCTGTATGTCCGTCTATCACTTATTGATGGTAAATGGGAGTTGGCTTGTAGCCAACCCCAGAATGTCTTTTATTTAGTTTACAACTATATATTGTTTGAGGATAATATTGTATGACATATATGTATCTAATTAAATCTTCACATCCGACCTAATTACGCCGTTCTACAAACACGTTACTTCGTAAGAACATAGGCGAATTTAAGTGTGAGGTATATATTTCCCTCATTTCTACCAAATGCATTCTGAACTAAATTGACACCAAACCTTGGTCAAACTGTTATACGAGTTAACTAGTTATCAGCATCAAATGCTTACAGCACAATGAAGAACTAGTTAATCACTAAATCTTTGTTTTTGTGTGAGAGATATCTTTCTTATTGTTGTGCTACATCAGTTGCAGTTTATGGTTATCGTTTAAGTGAAAAAACGTTTACATTAGATTTCTTGATTTGTTTACTTGCTATGATATTTTATTTAGAATTCTTAGGGATAATTCATTTGATTCACTGAGAGCTCAATAAGTCAGTATCGCACGTTTTTGAAATATAATTGCAAATCATAAACGAGAGAATCCTTATGGTGAAAAAACCAAGAAAACAATTATCAGGATCGGTAGGATAAGAATTTCGGGGAATCCAAACAATAGGACTAGTCATAGTTCCATCCAATTCTTGTTCATTTTTCTCATGTCTATCTCCATTTACCGGAGTAATGTGTTCTTTGGTCTTCCTCTCTTACTTTGGCTTTGAGGACTCCATGTGAGGGCTTGTCTTGTGACGCAGTTGGGTGCTTTCCTCAATGTGTGTCCTATCCAGTTCTAGCGCTTCTTCCTGATTTCTACTTCCGCTGGGATCTGGTTTGTTCTTTCCCACAGTTGGTTGTTGCTAATAGTGTCCGGCCAACGGATCCGAAGTATTTTGCGTAGACATAATGTGGTTTATAAGATAGAATATTGAATGACACTTGTTAATCTAATCATGATACATAATCTAAACCTTAGTTTTTATTGAATTGGTTTATAATGATAACAGATTAACAAACACCCACTTATACATTTAAATTTCATCGACTATTTTGAATTATTTAACTTCTGTATAATAATAATAAAAAAGAAAAGATCATATGAAACCTACGCAAAACAAAACAAAAATAATAGTTAATAATTTGGTTATGTGTTTGTAAATTTAGTTGAAGTTAAAACATATTAAATTGAATAAATGATTCATTCGTTTAATGCAAAACGTCAGCATACATATATGTCCCGATTTCAACTGATCTCCACACATAATAATTAAAAAGCCCGCGGTTTAATATTTTGATTTCTAAAAAATTATACAGTAGTCAATCAACATTTATCTATACGGTATCATAAACTTGTATCATAGAGAATAATGTATTCCTCGTGTGTTCATATCTATTTATATGTATTAATAAGTAAAATGTTAAGTGGATGTAATTAGTCGAAAGGAAACTCTGAACCAATATTTTGAGCTAAGTGGCTTTCGTCAGCCAAGTGTGCTTGAAATCTTGAGGGAACTGATGCTTTCTGAAGGATATGACTCCGTGTCATTGAGCTTCACAATCAGAGACGTTACTACTAACAATTACCTGCGATTTTTTTAAAATTAGTAAAACATAATGGATAAATGCTATGTGACAATGCCCATGATTTTACTGAGAAATTATAAAACAGTATTTCGATTCATATTTTATGAATTATTATTTTGTTTTTAAATATTTGACACTGAAAACAACAATGTTATATGTATATATATTCTACAATGAAATATTGAACAAAAACAGCTTGCTTAAGAAAATAAAAACAGAATATAGATAAGATGGTGTGAGAACATGGAACTCCTTTTTAAAACAATGAAATATGTCAAATTAAAGAAAAAGGAAACACCACTTTGCAGAATAAAAAAAGAAAAAAAACATTGCCTTCTCTCTTTTCATATGACTAGACAACGAAAGTATAAACATAGTAACGCTTACATTTTGAAATGATAGAGAAACCTTGCAACAACGGTGGATCAACACCTATGATATTGTGTGGTTATTTAAATTAGGTATTTTGTTTGCAGAGCTTCCAATATAGTTCTAGACAACATCATTAGCGTCTTCTTCATATAGAAATGAAATTTCCAGTTATAATAACTTAATGACTTCTATACTGAGTAGATCGTAATGATATTATTCAGAATGATAATGAAAACTGTACAAATAAACTATCTAACTCAAACGTATACAACACTATCATAAATTTCACATATTCATAATGAAGAAATAAAAAACAAACAAACCATTTATTGTCATTGTATAATTTGAATAAAAGACGACAGTTAAGGTATACATATATATCACAATCATATCATTGGTAATAATAATAGTAATAACAAAATACTAAATGATAAGGCTATTATGAGCGAAACGTGTTTATTTTTATACAGGTAAACTCATTGATATCATTTTATGAATTAAAACTTGATACGTTGATAGTGAATAAAGGATGTTCTGTATAAAATATGTAACAATATATGCATTAATATAGTCTACATTTTACAAGCATATCAATGTAAATTATTTAGATACAATGTCGTTAACAGACAACAACAAAAAATATATAATTGAACATTTCGAGCGGGAAAAAAGAAATGTTCTCATATCAAATTTACAGTTTCTAATTGAATTATGTATTTATATAACAACAGAAATATGTTAGTGGCAGATATTTTACATGTACAATGAAATAAAATTTAAAAAAAAACACAGAGATAATAATCAAATATGTGGAAAAAAAATGATAAAGAATGCAGAATGAGTGAAATGGAATATTAATGAGATTAAATATGTAAAAAAAGAGAGAAAAAAAGGAAATAATAAAACACTAATTTTATTCTTATTACAATAGATTCATTGAAAATTCAATGCCTTTCTTCTACTTTGATTTGATTTGTTAAAATCGATTTGGCACGAACACGACGTTGAGCTAATGTAGAACATTCAACTGGTTCAAGTATTGGTATTTTACTAGTACTATTCAATGCTCTAAATGTAGCTTCGACTGAATTCTATAACATAAATAAAACATTTGTAATAAAGGAATAATTTACTATTATTACTGAGAAATTCCGTTTATTTAGAGCAATGTAATTTCAGAGTAATATTTACAATAAACTAAAAATACGAGAAATACGTAACTGATGATTATTTTCTATGCAAGAGTTATGAAGATTGTTAATTTATTATTATTATTATTACAAACAGTATACACCCATGATTCCTAAAAGAGATTGGGTTCAATATATTCAGGTCTTATAGTGACCGTGTAACCTTCAGGCATACGTATATAAATAAATAATATACATACTATAAATATCCTCATTTTGAAAGTTATTGAACTAGTCACAAAAAGTAACGCTTATTAAAAATGGATAGGTGAATTTTCGTTTATCACATTTGAATAGTTCAAGTGTTTTCAAATAGTTTGATTCGTTCAAATTCATTTATACCATGAAATAAAGTTAAGAGAAAAATTAGACAATATACATAATTAGATTCTTCTTCATATTTAGCAAGAAAATCAGTTTAAGTTGAATAAAACTTAAAAACCAAAAAAGTATAGATTTTAGAAATTATTAATAATTAGTATTAGATATACACTAACCTAAGGAAAACTACAGCCGATAATATAAGTAGTAAGTAAGTATCTTATTGGTTCTTATTAATTTCAAACTTCAAGAAAAAAGAAAACACTACATAATTAATTAACAAGCACTTACTTTTGTCTGAGTGACATCATTTAACAAAACGTCGGTCAATAATTCTGGTGACAGTTGATCACGATTTTTAACCCATGGATGTGATAAGATCGCGCTAGCTGTACAACGTTTAGATGGTTCGGGATTTAACATTTTTGTCAATAAATCCTAAACAAACATATGGAAGACACAAATGTAATCAAAAGTTATAGAAAGAGTAGAAAACTTATAAATCTTGAGTATAAATGACAGATAGTACAAAAAATAACTATAGTGGATTTGTAGAGATGGTTGGATATTATGGTTTACTATCACTGAAAAACCAAGAAAGCATTGATTTAAGTTACACAAGGAAACCATTAAATGCTGACTCAGTAATCTAAAGGTTAAGTACACACTAAGAAACCGAAATTTCTTGGATTTGATACTCCCCAATAGGTGGTCGTGGAATTTGCACTTATAAGGAGTTCCATAAACTGGGGCAAAACGGGTATCTAACGCTTCCTTGTTTTTACTGGTTATCTAAGGTGTTGACTGCATTTAAAAGTGTTCTGTTCTACTTTATGGCAGTGAAACATGGCCGGTAAGAGTAGAGGATATTCTTAGGTTACTAGTATTCGATCATATGTGTCTTCGAAACATTGCTCGTATATCCTGAGACCACCAAGTAAGTAATACAGTTGTTAGGATACGGGTACTAGGTAGGGATGGCAAGTCCATTGATGAAGCAGTAAAACTTCATCAGTTGAGATGGTTTGGATACGTGTTACGTATGCCCAACCACCGACTGCCTCGACGTGCGATGTTTTATGGTGTAGGAGTAGGTTGGAAGAAAGTTAGGGGCGGCCAGAACAAAAGATGGCACAAGTCCATGAAGTCACTGACAAGTGGACTGAGTCATGTTGGTAGATGTAAACTACCTGGTTTGGATCCGCGAGACGATAGCAACCGATGGTTAGAGATCTTGAATGACATGGCTCAAAATCATTTGCAATGGCGCAGGTGCATCCACTCTTTATGTTCTCCCAAATTCTAGTCTTCTGAATTCTTCATATCCCTTTTTTATCTTTCCAAATTTATTTCACTGTATTGTACTCCTTGAATAACATCTTCAAACCCTAATCTTTCCTATTACTGCTTATACTCTTACTACCTCTACCAGTACGGGATTTGAATCGACAACGGTATCTGTGTGCTAATGTGCTATAGCAACTCGAACTGATGTACGTATGTATGAAGTTCTACGTTGTTGCTGACTGAAATTTAAAAGAGGAGTTGACAAACCAGTGAATTTGTTAAAGTCTGACAAAATTAAACACATACATTGAAAAATGAGTTAGAAGAAGCTTGGAAAAAAACAAATTATTAATTGATTCAACTTCAACATTTTTGAAAATAATTTTGTCATTAATGAAATATGAGTGGATGTAAATAAGATAACAAAATTGGTCACTAATATATAAGTAGATAAGTAGTTATTATTCGATAAGATAAACGATTCTTCAAATTTCCCTGTTTATCTCCCAAATCAAAATTAATTTTAGAAAATTAAATTTAACAATTAAAGTGTAAACGAACAAAAGTATAATAGATTTTTAAAATTAAGGAATATACACAAAGATTGATATACAATTATTTTGTGAATTATGCTGATTAAGCGTTTAAACTATGAAAAAAAGTCAAGTTGGGAAACTATTTCGTTATCGACAAGAGTCAAACACTAGTGGTAAGTGAACATCATTAGTAAATTTATTGAAATGAAAGATTAATTGATGGTGATTTCTTCTCATCTTATACAGGGTTTTGTGAGACATATTCCTCAAAAGTTGTGTTTAGAAGGAAGTATACTATTTCAAATGGAAACACTAAACATTTAACGTAGAATGAATGAGCCAAAAACGTTTGAAATAATTAGCAAACGGTATATTCCGCTTTTTGTAGAAACTGTTGTTACCACATGCCTTTTGGCTGGACTTTTGTACACAAAGAGAAAGTATGATAAACCTCTTAATGCCATGATTAAATGCAACGTCTGTCAATTAAATAATCTTTTGATTTCGATTTATACTCTAAACACTCCATTGAAATTTACTCATAATGTTAACTTGAATTTCATACCGACAAGGTGGTCTGATCGTTAAATCACTCATCGGTTAGTAAAATGGTTTATTCATTTTGTCGATTGATTATTAGTTACCATATTATCCCCTTGATATAAATTCAATCTCAATAAATAAGCAATAATCATTTCTAACCATTGTGTCATAACCCTTTGTTGTTCCGTGTTGATTTGAATTCGATTTCGCTGACTAAGGTATGTATAACCCTGTTCATAAAAAAATATTACTAATTGTAAGTCTTAAGCTGTTTACAGCTTATAGTATCCATTCACTTTATTCTACAAATTGAATTAATTAAAATAGGCCACTGAATGATATTTTTAATAGTTTCCAAAAAAAGGATGAAAAGAAGACAAATAAATATTTTGATTTCAAGGAACTGTAATTGACAGGTAGGATGAATTTATACAAATTGTTTATAAATGTTAAAATCATGAACTATAAAAGCACGACCTATTTTAACGGCAGATACGAATATTATGTCAGTGAATTTAATATTATCCTAACTTTTATGATTAATTAACACTCCTGACAAAAGTGTAACACTAATCTGAAAATGATTATTGATTACACGAAGGAGTAAGTGATTAAAAATGTGAATGGCATACTTCATGCATGTCTTATTCGTTGCATTGCTTAACAGGGCTAGTACGCACACAAATCAGCTAGTTTATTACAATAAAGATAAAAAGTTCCGTTAGTTAACGAATTAAAGAAAATGAAGTAACTCAAATACTCATCAGGGGACGTTTTTAAGTGTCCATGAAATAATCAGTAAACAGAATATTACTATTAAATTGTTTGTGAAAATTGTTGAATTTCATAACTTATATCACTGACTGATCGCAGTTAGACAACCATTGAGATCCAAGAATCATTGGACAGTTATTTCGTTTTGATATGGTTGCATAATACCACGAAGTGAATAAAGTTCTACATATAAACCAATCGATACAGACCTGGTGGTCTAAACGTCAAGCGCTCATTAAGATATTCAAGTACCTTGGTTCCAATTCACGTTGGGTTTGTGGATGTGCATTGCGGAGTGATCTCATACTGAAACGAAACAGATATCCGGAGTTTCATGATTTTCGATGGTTGTCTAAGATCAATTCCTGATGAATGGTTTAGTTATGGGAACATTAGTAAGAGCATTAAAGTACCTGTTTGGAAAACGACAACACAGTTACAAAACATTTATTATCAGACAAAATGACTGAATTTTATTACTCAAGTATCAGATTTAGAAATAGGCTTCCAATTACAAAATCTTTGAAAAATAAGTAACCTCTTTATACAACGTTTCTAGTTAGATATCTAAACAAGTAACAATGATTACAGAATTTATATTAAAATTATAATTATAAACATATGTAAGACATATCCACAGTAATAGTGTGGTGAACGAGAACACAAGTGGGGAAAACCAATTTATTATTCAATGCGAAATTACAGAGTGCTTCAGTAAAATATGAAAATCATACATTAAATACATCATTTGCACATCTTTGTGTTGTCCTTTATCTACTACACTATTCCTCTAATTCCGTTTTTATTTTAATTGCTCTCCGATTTGCTTTGTGTTCTCTTTAATTCAATCTTCTGCTCCCAGGCATGACAACTTCCGATCGTGGCTACATACTACTTACATCTGACAGCATACGCAGCGTACACCACACATCTACACTAATGATGTAACATGAATTATTCATAAAGTTTTTAAAACAGAAAGTATGGAACATTTATATCATATTCCATTGATTGTTATGAATAAACGACAATCACAGTATTTAACGAATTAAATCGAAGTTCAAATATTAAAAAAGTTTACCTATGTGTGTTCAGTGTAAAAAACTTTAAAAACAATAAGCTATTGACTTCACTGGTAACAGAATAGGTGTAACTGTTAGAGCAATTGGAAATATTTTGTCAGTCAATCCGGCATTCGCAACGCAGAACTTACTGAACATATGCTTACATATGTGTTCCAATTCGCCACAGGATATCAGAGCAAAAGGATGAAATTACGAAGAGAAACAATGAAGTGGTAATATCAATGCCAAGATTAGCCATGAAGAATATGAATGGAAGTATAAAATAACTTGAAAACTGAAGATAGAGAACAAGCGAATGCATTCGCTAAACAGCAACCAACTTCGAACCATATCAACTAGCATCTCCTCCTCCCGTTAGTCAAATTCATCACGCTGGACTTAATCAGGAGTCAATTACTTCTTGAGTTATTGCCATGTCCAGGTTTAAACACCGCCAGTTTTCCTCCAACCCATTCTTATGCCGACGAAATACTTAGTTCAGATCTGTATAGTTTGGCGATAGTTCAGGCCATAAATTGAAATGAACAACTATTACGTGTTAATTGAAGATTTATTTTTTGAAATTCCAATAGAAATATTTATGCAGTCATCCAAGTTCAGAGTGAGACAGTAACCGACATATGATATTACGTAAAGACTGCATAACACCCCAAATTGACTACAATTGAGAATGTGAACTAATCAACTGCAAAACTTAGATTCATAAATAATATACTAATCACGAAAATTGATTGTTATGCGTTTTATTAGACATGAAATTGTTAGTACACACTATTAAGTAGTATTAATGTACAATAAAAATAAACTACTGCTAATTGTTTATTCAAGGGCTCCATCTATCTTACTATATGGTGTCATGAGTGTAGTGAACGGTACTCACAACATTACTTGTTAGTTGTATGTTGAGGAACACGGCCTCAAAGTTGTCGGACGGAATGAAGAGTCTCAGTACAGCGAAAGCACGGCGTTGGCAGAGCAAATTGTAATGAGGTAAATGATTCTATTGGAAATATAAGTATAATAGTAATAAACAATTGGTATTTATCTATAACTATTTGAAAGAATATGTAATAGAGTAGGTCAACATTTGCTATAATTAAATCAACTTCTCTAACAATTAAATTATAAACACGTTATAATGGTGAAAATCAATCTTATCAAGAAATTAAGATAGAAAATTTAATTTATAATTTACTTTCCTTGAATATGTTGTGACATTTGGAAAAATTACATTGATGAAACTATAATTTATAAACCACCTATGTATGATTATAAATGAGACTTGAGAAACTTCGCTCACTTATTATGGTTTAAATAGAGTTCTAGATTGATGTGAGGAATTTGAAGTAGGACATAGGAATTAGAGTAAGGGTTTTTATTACGAATGGAAATCAATTATAATGAAAAAAAAAGTTATTTAGTCAGACAGATAAATGAATTTCGTGCAGATATCGAAGAGTCACTATTTTAAATGTGATTAGTTAGTCCATAAATTAGAGTCCTGGTAGTGTATTCATACAGATTGTAGGTGTAGAATGAAAAGCAATGTATCCCAAGAATATTTTTTAATAAGATAAATGTTGATAAAATGAAGAATAGTTTTGTTATGACCTTGGGTGTCTGACTTTCTTATCACGCGATTTATCTACCAATCCGAATACGACTTATACGGATCTTCACACTAGGCCAACCAATGACGTTCAACCGGTGTGGGCAGTCTAGCGTCCTTATTGGCCCTATGTCCTACGAGCCCTTCCACTTGAGTCCAGAACAAAATACCAGCTTCCGAATCAGAGCAGATCGTTTATTTCAGGCATACTTGGTTTATATATCAATCACACAGACCGCAACGTACCATAAAATAGGAAATAATATTTGTACACAAATAAGCCAAAAAGTGGCTGTGAATGTGGTAGGCAGTAGTTAATAAACTGAACATAACTTAAGAACCGTAAATCGTACAATAATAAATTATAGATCAAAATAAAGCTTATCATAAAAGGAATATAAATATACATAGTGTAATTGTTGAGTAGTTATACAATAAGAATAATTATAGAATATTAGTCCATGAATAGTCCTTGGAATTTACCTGTAGTTTAATCTTCACCGGATATAACAAGTTTGTCATGGACTCAATTTATCTAAGCAATCATTAGAAAGCACCAACAATCCTCACAAAAATTACGGACAAATTTAGCCCGTCAATAAATACTTTAGATGAGGTTAAAGATTATTATCGTTTCAAATTATTCATTTTATTAAATAAGATGAAGAGTAGATAAACAGTGGACTTTCGAAACATTTACGTTATTAAATAATTTGGTACAAAGAGCAATAACAACATAAACATCAAAACTATGAATGTAAAATATCACAAAGTTGAAAAGTGCATTATTTCACTATAGACATACATTTTCTCGTCAAACAATAACTTATTGGCACTTGAGTATATATAATGAGTGAACAATCAACCCAAAAGCAGTGAATGTTAAAAGGGAATAAAAAATACACCAAAACACCAATACTGTGCAATAAACATAGATCGGTAACTTTCAACTAATATAACGTTACATATCAGATACTGCGACATCTACGTGAAAATTTCAAAAAAACTATTATTCACATTACAAATGTGAATAACAATTGTCCTTTTAGTCTAATCTACTGGTATTACTAATATTAGTTGTATATTTTCTGTTTCCTCTTTAACAATGTATAAACCGGTTAAAATTTTCATAGAAGGCATTGAATAACTTATGTTATCGGTAGTCAGCTGACTGGTATTGTACGGAATGGTGAAAATTGTTTTAATTGAAAATTTTACAGTATATATAATACATCATCACTTTTCATGTGTCGGTAAAAGTGAGATGTGATTGGTTAATGAGAGAAGATGGGTACATAAATATATGAGACAATATAATATTGTATGTTCATTCCACTGCAGATTCTACTGGGATTTAACTTACATTTGACTATTTTGTACTTGTGTCGATAAACTATTGTTCTTTCTAATATCTGGTTCTTAATGGGATAATTGTATTATGCATATCACATAATCTAGTGTCTAGTCTAGTACTTCGTAAGTCGATCCTATTATCTATTGTCAGGTCTATTGGTACTCTTATCGTATTATCTAGTGTTTAAGTGTACGATTCTATCAAGTGTAAATTTCATAATTTTCGCCATATTATCAAGATCTTAAAACATATCATGAAGCTGTACATGTAAATGCGATAATTATTCAGATGAAACATAACAAGGAAGTTATCTTTTTAAAATAAATAAGAGCAAATAAAACTATAGAATGCATGGATTGTAGCTAGCAATGGAATCAAGGACATGTATTCTGTTCGATCAATGACTTATCAGATGAATTTGCCTGCAGCTCAGGGTTAGTTTTCACTCTAAAACGTAAATATAGTATCGTTCACCAACGACTATTCACTTAGCTTTTGAATCCAAATAATTATTCGCTTATATAACGGGTCCCTGATGAGACGAAACGAGAATCCTGGATACCACTACTAGCCCCATCTCATTTATTCTATATTATCTTCTGTCATAATGGCTATATCAAAACAATCCATACAGTATGCATGTATGCCAAAAAAGACATTAAATGTTAGTAAAAAATAGTATCAACAACGGGATAATCCAAACTATTTCAAATTGAATTATATATATATGAAATAATTGATTTAAAATGTCTTTGCTGTTAAGTGACCAAACTTGACTGAATGTTTTTAATGATACGGTTTAAAACAAAACATTTCATCTCAACTTAAAACGAAACAATACCATTTATATTGATTTATAGGTGAAAAAGTAAGAAACAAGGAAATTAAATTATATGTTTAGTTCGATGTAATCAGGTCATGCATTTTGATTGTTTTTTTTTGTTGTTGCCAAATTATAGACATTATGCATAATTTCTATTATTTTGCGTGTGTGCGTTTGCGTGTTTTCCTTCAGAAAATAGAATGGAGGTTATTTATTAATGTTGACTAGTTAAATAATGGTTGAATAAGGCATCATTCTGGCATTAATTTCTTTTGTTTTTCACCTCAATAATGAGTTCATGTGATTTGAATATTTGAAAGAAATAAGAATAACTATTATACACAATAAAGTTTATATTATGTCATTTTCTAGAATAAATTATTCACATTTATATAATGAATTGAATTAACATTATGCATTCATTTCACAATTGTACAGTGATATATATATCAGAATGGGTTTTGTGGAGAGTTTTAGAAATTTCACAGGTTGAAATCATGATTCAGTTGAAGCTAGACCACCATTGAAAACCTGGAAGCACTGGACGACCGTTTCGTCCTGGTATGGGACTCCTCAGCAGTGCACCAGGACGAAACGGTCGTCCAGTGCTTCCAGGTTTTCAATGGTGGTCTAGCTTCAACTGAATCATGATTTCAACCTGTGATATATATATTAAAATGTATATACATAATTTCTTTTAAAAAAATAATAAATTATAACACATACTTTTGCTGAATCAGATATTTTATTCCAATTATTATTGATTAAATCTAATCGACCAGATTCTATACGTGATAAAACTACTTCAGATGATTCATTTGGTTTAATTGCAAATGGTGTTTGTCCAAATAACATTGTATACACTAATACACCTAAACTCCATACATCACATGCAGCATGATAACCTTGCATTTTTAACACCTATATTATTATGCATTGATGATGATATGTAAAAAAAATATAAGGAGAGTAAAGATATACAAATGAATGAAAAGTGATACATACACAAGTGAAAATTAGTTCAAAACGAATTAATAATAATAATAATAATAGTAAATAATGATGTATACATGCATAAAGTAGTTTGTGTATTTATAAAAAATTATTAGCCCACAAATGTCCTGGTGCGGACAAGAGTGGGGAGAGTCAGCTCTCTCTTTTTCTTTAAATGCTCTAACATGGCCACGTGCATAAAATTACTGCCAAAAAAGTCCTACACACTGCACTCTCATGGCGGGGGTGTTGTTTACGTAATTGAGGGAACAAAAATCGAATGCCCGGCGATTTAAGCGAGTTGATGGATGTGGAGGATCCACAAACAATAAAACAGACGAACTGAAATTATTTAAATGATTTGAAGTTAACACTAGACTATTCGCAGAGTGATTAACTCCTAACAACCAACTCATTTCGATTGTTTTTTTACCAATACACCAATACGTCATACAAACTGACTGATGTTAATTGTTTTCTCAATTTCTTTTTTAAGGCTGGTCCTTCACGTTTATCGGGCATCTTATTAGTTATCCTTGACTGGAATATGTCAACCAAGGTCCAATCTTCTCTAAAACTAACTAAAATGTCTGAATAAATTGCCAGTTTTTATTTGCCAGAGACTGATTCCAGCGTGTGTGCAAACGAAAACCAAAGAGCATTAAACAGCTGCTTCGCCTCAATGCAGGACTCCTTAGAAGAATGTACCCTAGATCAAATGAAGGGGTCGGTTCCAAGATCTTCAGATACCACCGTAAACATGAACATTAGAAGCACCGGGTTGGTTTCTTATACTAAATAAATAAGTGAATAAATAAGCAGTATATTATAAAGCTTTAATTTTTTTACTGATGGTTCCATATCAAAGCAAATTAAACACAAATACGATTTTAAAAAAATCAAAACTGTCAAACAATTTACTTCTGGTGCGACAAAATTTGCAGTATAACACGGTGTCATTAAAAGACCATTTTCAGCTCTCAACTGTTTTGCAAAACCAAAATCGCATATTCTCAGGGAAGATGCATCACCAGAATCGTCTGCATATAATACATTGGATGGTTTAAGATCACGATGGACAACCTGGCAAAATAGGGGATATTTATATACATATGGAGTAATAATAGGTTTTTAAATAATAATTGTACAGACATCAACATAATGTAATGCAATGTATTAAGATTTTTCAAGTATTTTGTATATGTATATATAGTAAATTCATTTACCCTATTGGTTTAAACCCATAAATAAGACTGAAGAAATATCAATGAAATCTATTTTCAAAAAAGGCATAAAATACATTCAATATTATATCACAGAAAGCAAGATATTCACAATTTATATTTCGGTTGTCTATTTAGTAAATCAAATAAAACACAATTATTTACGCCTTTTGAGATCACAGACCGACCTAAGTAAGTTATCCATTGAAAGCCAAGAAGCATTGTACAGATGTTTCGTCCCCGTGTAGGACTAATCCTCAGCAGTTTGTATTTACGACTCCGTAAGGAACAAAATTCAGAATTTGTAAAGGGAGTTTAAACTTTGGGCTATTTATAAATCTTCAGCTTATGAAACGCGTTTTTCTAAAACAGATTTACCGAAATAATTATTCATAAGTATCAGAAGGCGTTTTGTGGAGATTGTAGTAATTTCAATAGTTAAGATCATGAGTCAGGTTTTCCATGCTGGTCTAGCTTCAATTAAATCATGATCTCAACTATTGAAATTATTCATAAATTGAAAATGTGAAATAAATTATCCATTTTGTTAATACTAATTTACAAAAATTTCTTTTCAAGAGATATTCCTAGGGCGTTGCGTTTATAAATTCAAATGTGTGATCGTCATTAGCATAATGAAGTTGTCAGTAACAGTCTATATCAATGATTTAGTTTCGTTCAAGATAAGATGAAAGCCTATTATTTGTTACAAATGCTTGTATCGTGTATATATTATGAACAACACATATAAGCGAACAATTGTGTTTCAATTAGATCGTCATCAGGCTTTACTCTAATATACATGAATATTTATACGAAAATGTTAAACCAATCAAAGCAATATGAGTCAATAATCACAATGAAATAGAATAAGTCACTACACATAATAGGTAAAAGTACAAGTTGATAGTACGAAGACAGGTGAACAGATAGTGGTAAGAATAATAAACTACAATAACAAAGCTCTTATCAATAGTTAATGGTTGGAAATAGAAGGTCAAATAAACATGGGTAAATAAACTAGGAATAGTAATCACAAAACATTAAAAATCATTACGTAATAAGATGTGTGTAAATAATTAGATAGTGAAGAATACAAAGAGGCGGATAATGACAAACAAATAATGGATGTGGAAATAAGGTTAACAATAACACAGATAGAATAAAATAAATAATGATAATAATAAAATTTGAAATTAAAAAAAAATATTGTTAGTTAGGTTATAACTGGCCATGGAAGGGATAGGGGAGTCACGTATTTCTTCTGTACACATAGATTGGGGTTATATGTACGAATTCCAATGGCTTCAGCTATATATAGGAGACGGGAACGGACTCCGTCAGGAAATGATGGAGGTATACGATAGATAACTCGAAATGATTTCAATTTATCTACTGCATGACCGCTATCAATAAGATGTGCTAGTATAGAGCTGCGAATAGTTTTTCTCTGACCCTTTATGTACCAAGTTGGTAGATGTTCACTCATTCGTTGGTTAAGTTGCCTGGTAGTACGCCCTATATAGCTATCTCCACAGGAGCAGCTGAATTTGTAGATGCACATGGAAGAGGCCAACTCAGGCAGCTTATCCTTCGTTTGAGTAGACATCGCTGGTCGACAAGAGAAGGTCAACGCAAGATTGGCTGCGTAGAATGTCTTGGTGATTACTTTGGTTAACCTATATTTCAGAGTGTCACTAGCCACATCCCCGTTGAATTGCACTTTCATGTATAACGGTTTCTTACGAACAGTCGAAATCTCCGACTTCTTTATTATATCCTGCATGTATTTCTTAATGAACGCGCTGGGGTAGCCGATCTCGGTCAGTGAGTTGATGAGAAATTCAAGCTCCTGACTTAGAGTGTCTACTGTACAGATCTTTTTTGCTCTGCTCGTGAGACATCTGACCAAATTTCTCTTGTAACGGATGGGTGTGAAACTGCAGAAGTGGGTATATTGGCATGAAGAGGGGTTTCTTCTATACACGCTTCTACTTAATGTGCCGTCACTTCGTCTGCTTAGTGTGACGTCAAGGAAGCTCAGCTTCATATCATGCTCGCTTTCACCAGTGAAGGTGATCGCTGGGTGAACACTGTTGAATTGGTCTAGGAGTTCCTCTTTACTAGTGTTTTGGTCTACGATAATGAATGTGTCGTCAATGTATCGACAATATAAATCCAGTTTCTTAATAGTCTTATTGAGAGGTCCGTTTTCTAGCTTTGCTAGGAAGAGGTCAGCTAAAATCGGGCCTAGAGGCGAGCCCATGGCTATCCCGTCTATTTGTCTATAGTAAGTATTGTTGAAGACAAAATGTACATTCAGAGTGCATCTTAGAAGCAGTTCCCTTAGGCTATCGTTAGGCAGGCCAATGTTGATTTGTTTCTTTGATATTTGCTTGCATATAAAATCAATAGTCTCTATAAGTGGTACGTTGGTGAACAAAGATTCTACATCCAATGAGATCATATTTTTCATACTGACATTAATATTTTCTACTTTGGAGGTGAAGTTGAAGACGTCTCTTACACTATTCCTAACAACTGATTTGTGTAGAGGTTCTAGGATTCGTACTAGCCAGCTAGCAAAGCTAGAAAACGGACCTCTCAATAAGACTATTAAGAAACTGGATTTATATTGTCGATACATTGACGACACATTCATTATCGTAGACCAAAACACTAGTAAAGAGGAACTCCTAGACCAATTCAACAGTGTTCACCCAGCGATCACCTTCACTGGTGAAAGCGAGCATGATATGAAGCTGAGCTTCCTTGACGTCACACTAAGCAGACGAAGTGACGGCACATTAAGTAGAAGCGTGTATAGAAGAAACCCCTCTTCATGCCAATATACCCACTTCTGCAGTTTCACACCCATCCGTTACAAGAGAAATTTGGTCAGATGTCTCACGAGCAGAGCAAAAAAGATCTGTACAGTAGACACTCTAAGTCAGGAGCTTGAATTTCTCATCAACTCACTGACCGAGATCGGCTACCCCAGCGCGTTCATTAAGAAATACATGCAGGATATAATAAAGAAGTCGGAGATTTCGACTGTTCGTAAGAAACCGTTATACATGAAAGTGCAATTCAACGGGGATGTGGCTAGTGACACTCTGAAATATAGGTTAACCAAAGTAATCACCAAGACATTCTACGCAGCCAATCTTGCGTTGACCTTCTCTTGTCGACCAGCGATGTCTACTCAAACGAAGGATAAGCTGCCTGAGTTGGCCTCTTCCATGTGCATCTACAAATTCAGCTGCTCCTGTGGAGATAGCTATATAGGGCGTACTACCAGGCAACTTAACCAACGAATGAGTGAACATCTACCAACTTGGTACATAAAGGGTCAGAGAAAAACTATTCGCAGCTCTATACTAGCACATCTTATTGATAGCGGTCATGCAGTAGATAAATTGAAATCATTTCGAGTTATCTATCGTATACCTCCATCATTTCCTGACGGAGTCCGTTCCCGTCTCCTATATATAGCTGAAGCCATTGGAATTCGTACATATAACCCCAATCTATGTGTACAGAAGAAATACGTGACTCCCCTATCCCTTCCATGGCCAGTTATAACCTAACTAACAATATTTTTTTTTAATTTCAAATTTTATTATTATCATTATTTATTTTATTCTATCTGTGTTATTGTTAACCTTATTTCCACATCCATTATTTGTTTGTCATTATCCGCCTCTTTGTATTCTTCATTATCTAATTATTTACACACATCTTATTACGTAATGATTTTTAATGTTTTGTGATTACTATTCCTAGTCTATTTACCCATGTTTATTTGACCTTCTATTTCCAACCATTAACTATTGATAAGAGCTTTGTTATTGTAGTTTATTATTCTTACCACTATCTGTTCACCTGTCTTCGTACTATCAACTTGTACTTTTACCTATTATGTGTAGTGACTTATTCTATTTCATTGTGATTATTGACTCATATTGCCTTGATTGGTTTAACATTTTCGTATAAATATTCATGTATATTAGAGTAAAGCCTGATGACGATCTAATTGAAAACAATTGTTCGCTTATATGTGTTGTTCTATTTTTTTTTTTTTTTTTTTTTTTTTTTTTTTTTTTTTTTTTTTTTTTTTTTTTTTTTTTTTTTTTTTTTTTTTTTTTTTTTTTTTTTTTTTTTTTTTTTTCTACCCCAGCGCGTTCATTAAGAAATACATGCAGGATATAATAAAGAAGTCGGAGATTTCGACTGTTCGTAAGAAACATTTATACATGAAAGTGCAATTCAACGGGGATGTGGCTAGTGACACTCTGAAATATAGGTTAACCAAAGTAATCACCAAGACATTCTACGCAGCCAATCTTGCGTTGACCTTCTCTTGTCGACCAGCGATGTCTACTCAAACGAAGGATAAGCTGCCTGAGTTGGCCTCTTCCATGTGCATCTACAAATTCAGCTGCTCCTGTGGAGATAGCTATATAGGGCGTACTACCAGGCAACTTAACCAACGAATGAGTGAACATCTACCAACTTGGTACATAAAGGGTCAGAGAAAAACTATTCGCAGCTCTATACTAGCACATCTTATTGATAGCGGTCATGCAGTAGATAAATTGAAATCATTTCGAGTTATCTATCGTATACCTCCATCATTTCCTGATGGAGTCCGTTCCCGTCTCCTATATATAGCTGAAGCCATTGGAATTCGTACATATAACCCCAATCTATGTGTACAGAAGAAATACGTGACTCCCCTATCCCTTCCATGGCCAGTTATAACCTAACTAACAATTTTTTTTTTTAATTTCAAATTTTATTATTATCATTATTTATTTTATTCTATCTGTGTTATTGTTAACCTTATTTCCACATCCA